CAGCCTACTCTCACCCCCAACTGCCCTCCCCTGCAGTCCTGGTTGCCCCCAACTGCCCTCCCCTGCCCACCATCTTGTGACAGTGTGGGTGCAGCCATCTTATGATGTGGGGAGGCCATCTTGTGACGACATGGGGCAGCCATCTTGTGGCAATATGGGTGCGGCCATCTTGTGATGATGCGAGGGCATGAGGGTCAATTTGCATATTACCTCTTTATTATATAGGATTTCCTTGTTGATAGGGCCAGCAAACCCTGGGCTTAGGGAATTGGTTGTCTGAGGATAGGTCAAATTGTGTACCTTCCCAAAACAGGTGAAATAAAGTTTAAAAGTGGTCATTGAGATAGTCTTGAGGATGTGCTATAGGGTTGCCAGCCCTTTCTTAGTGCCCCTTTCCTTCCCTGCCTGGTCTTCCCTGACAGTGCAGTATTAACTTTAGACATCAAAGAATTTGCTGTTGTATATTTGGAGGCTTTCTCCTTAAAGAACTGAGTACATGGGTTTACTTCTTGAGAGAATTAATAAAATAAACAAATCCTGTCTTTAGAAGCCCCATAATACTGGATAGCCTCTGCTGAATAAAGAGGTTCTAGGACTGAGTGACTTCTACTACAGCCAGTTCAGACTGCAGTGTCCAGGGAATAGGGTTAATGTTCAGGTGAAATTTTTTTTTTTTTATCATTTGTATCTTTACACTTTTACTATATAATTTTTTTTAATCTGGAAAAGTGAAAATAAGATTTTTCTTTCAGCATGTTCAAGTTTATGCCCCAATCTCATTATACAGAATATGCTGATACACTGTGTGGAAAGTGTAAAAATGGGGGAAAAACCCATAATCACACCTGTAAATGTTATTTTTTTTCCATTTTTTATTTTTATTTTTTCATTACTCTTTATTGTTCAGATTATTACAGATGTTACTCTTTTCCCCACCCTAGTTCCCCTCCCACCTGGTTCCCATCCCACCCCATGCCCTTACCCCCTGCCATTGTCCTCATCCATAGGTGTAAGATTTATGTCCAGTCTCTTCCCACACCTCCCACACATCCTTCCCCCCAAGAATTGTCAGTCCACTCCCTTTCTATGCCCCTGCTTCTATTATATTCACCAGTTTATTCTGACTTAATTTTTAGGTTCACTTGTTGATAATTATTTGTTGTCACTTTGTTGTTCATAATTTTTATCTTTACCTTTTTCTTCTTCTTCCTCTTCTTAAAGAATATCCTTCAGCATTTCATATAATCCTGGTTTGGTGGTGATGAACTCCTTTAGCTTTTTTTTATCTGTGAAGCGTACCCAGGATGGCTGCCCCATGTCATCACAAGATGGCCTCCTTCACTTGTTGATAATTATTTGCTGTCACTTTGTTGTTCATAATTTTTATCTTTACCTTTTTCTTCTTCTTCCTCTTCTTAAAGAATATCCTTCAGCATTTCATATAATCCTGGTTTGGTGGTGATGAACTCCTTTAGCTTTTTTTTATCTGTGAAGCGTACCCAGGATGGCTGCCCCATGTCATCACAAGATGGCCTCCCCACACAATAAGATGGCTGCACCCACACTGTCACAAGATGGTGGGCAGGGGAGGGCAGTTGGGGGCAACCATGACTGCAGGGGAGGGCAGTTGGGGGTGAGAGTAGGCTGGCCTGATTTATTCATATTTTTGGATTCCTTTTTCTTTTTGCTCTTCCAGTTGGGTGTTTTTTGCTTCCTTGTATTTCACATCTTTGATTTGATTCTTGGGATCCTCTAGTATACTGTTGAATTTCTATATATTATTCTTTATTTCAGACAGTGTATGCTTAATTTCTGACTGGTCCTTTTCCATTTTTTGGCATTCTCATTAAGATCCTTGAAGGTCTCACTAAGTTCCTCGGATGTCTCACTAAGTTTCTCGGGAGGTCGTAGAAGATTCTTGAGTAACCTTATAACTGTGATTTTGAACTCTATGCCCTCCATTAGTTTGCTTTCCTCCATTTCTTTCATTTGTGACATGTTTCTTTGTCTGCGCATTTTTGGCTGACTGCAAGGACCCGCTGTGTCTACAGTGGAAGAACTGCTGTGCTGGAGACATCCTTATGGGGTAGGACTTGCTTCAGTGGGGCTTTGGTGCTCACTGAGTCTGCTTCTTGAGTATGTCCCTTATGGATGTGAGGAGTTGAAATCTAGTATCTGACTAGGAGTACCCTGGCTCCTGGATCTCCCAAGTCAACCACTGTGTGAGTCCACCCAGCAGGAGCTACGGCGTTATCAGCAGATTTCTCCTCTTTGTTTGGGGTTTGGAAGTTTTGGAGCTCTCTGATCCAGCTGCAGTTTGTTAGGCTGCAAAAGCATAGGTGATTGCTTTGCACCGCTGGGCACTGCTTGGGTGGGGGTGTAAATTGAGTGGGGCGAGGGTCTCAGAGAATCACCAGGGCAGAGCAAACCAAAGTGGCTGTCGTCAGCCGTCTATGAGACTCCGTGTCTCTGCGTCCCGAGTCCCACGCCCCCACAGCAACAATGATCCCTGTGAGCAGCTCTGCTAGAAAGTCACCCTCGCTTTCCGACCCACTGCAAGACAGTCCAGTTTCTCCCCATAGGAGTCTGGGACCCCAGAGTCTTGCCGTAAATGAGTTCAGTGCATTCAAGCGCTTGTCCCCTTCTGATTGAAAAAAAATGCGCACCCAGGTGCAGCTGCCTCTCGCACGCCTCACTACCTCTGTTCTTGGCGCCTCTGCACCTCCTACTCAGTCTCAGTGCGCTTTTTTCTTTCCTTTTAGTTGTAGAACTTCCACTCGGTCAGCTTTCCCGTGGTTCTGGATGATAGCTGTTTTGTCTTATAGTTGTAGTTTTAATGTTGTTGTGGGGGGCAGCACGTACAGGTTTGTACTTTATGCTACCATCTTGGTTCCTTTTTTTCCCATTTTTTTAAAAAAATTAAATTCTTTATTCTTTAAAGTATTACATAAGTCTCCTTCTTCCCCCATTGACCTCTCCCTGGCTGCCCCCACCCCCTAAGGATGTCTACATCTTAATCCTGGGAATTTAGGAATATGTGATACCAGATGGCTAGTAGGTTGGACAGTCTGATGCTTCTTTGACTCTGGTTCTATTTTTGTTCATCAGTTTATGTTGTTCATTATATTCCACAAGTGAGTGAGATCATGTGATATGTATCTTTCTTTGACTGGCTTATTTCGCTTAGTGTAATACTCTCCAGTTCTATCCATGCTGTTGCAAATGGTAAGAATTCCTTTTTTACAGCAGCATAGTATTCCATTGTGTAGGTATACCATAGTTTTCTAACAGTTGAAATTTTGATGTCTTTTCTCCTAAAACCGTTGTAAGGGAATGTTAGTAAATGTTTGGATAAGATTTTAACAAATCTCCCTTTCCCCTATTTTAAGAAGTATAAATGTGAAATAAAGTAAAATAGCGTCATGCATCTATTTAATGTGTAGTTAGTAAGCCATAGTTAGGTTTGATACCTCTGTGGGGCAGTTCTTTTCCTCTCATAATGTCCCAGTCTCTCCTGCTCTATTTTTCCGCCAGATTCCTCCCGTGATGAATATCAACATAGTCCTGCCCTCATAAATCCTAGGGACTGGCCAAAACCGGTTTGGCTCAGTGGATGGAGCGTCGGCCTGCGGACTGAAAGGTCCCAGGTTCGATTCCGGTCAAGGGCATGTACCTTGGTTGCGGCACATCCCCAGTGGGAGATGTGCAGGAGGCAGCTGATCGATGTTGCTCTCTCATTGATGTTTCTAACTCTCTGTCTCTCTCCCTTCCTCTCTGTAAAAAATCAATAAAATATATTTAAAAAAAAAAATCCTAGGGACTGGGAGGCATGCAGGGGGATGTTAAACAGAATAATCAGAGATATAAAAATGTCTTGGCAGATTTTAAAAGTTCTGTGAATATACATATGGGTACTGTGAGAAAGAGAATGATATTTAAGTTGAAGCCTAAAGGATTGGGAGTGTTTGTTTATACAGGGCTTTAGCTAAAAGGTAATTTCATTTGTTTGTTTATACTAAAGACTTTATTTCAAACAAAAAATTGAGAGCTATTTCCCTGGGTGTGGGGAAGGGATTAGGGCAAGGAATTCCCCGTGACTAGGCCACTACCCTCACATACTGGAGGGGTTGTGTAACTAACTTTCTTCCTGGCCCCTGTGATTGAGAATCTCAGCAAGTGCAGGACCTTATGTCATAGCTCACCCACCAAGGGGAACTCCAGCTAGGAGTCAGTATCTGGAAAGAGCATGGCCAAAGGCAAACCACAAGATCAAGTCTTAAGTACTAGGAACCCACTCTTTTCCCCCTTCCTAGGACCGAGAACAGATTAAGAAGATGGCCAGGGAGCTCCCCCCTGTCACACTTTCTCAGTGGTTAGAGTGTCGTCCCAGGGACCAAAGGGTCATGGGTTCAATTTCTGGTTAAGGGCATGCATCTCTGTTGCAGGTTCAATCCCCAGACCTGGTTGAGGCATGTGTGGGAGATGACCAATCCATGTGTGTGTATCTCTCTCTCCCCTCACCCTCCCTCCAGTCTC